AGCTAAAAATAATTTGTAGAAAGTTCGTCAAAAAAGCAAAACTCGTGACTTACTTGATGTAGTTTCCGCTCCAAGAGTCAAGTGCAAATCCACACTGCTTTTACTTCCACAAAGTGGATAGCTAGCGATGCTCAGCTTATGCATAGGAGGGAGGCGGCTAGGCGAGTCATTGCGGTCTAGATTACGATCCAACTGTTCCGTAGATGATACGGTAGCTGCACGATGCATATCTGAGATGGGCAAAACTGCCGACAGTATCCCGCAGTATCCCATGAGACCTCAAAACACTTACGATTCATATGAGCATGAGCGGCGACCACTTGCGAGTCCATGCTGCTGCTCTTACGATGTATGATACCGGTAGATAAGCAGTGTGGCGGACCTTGCTGCCATGGAGGTCTAGAGATGTTTTTACTCATTCATTTTATAAAAGAAAATATTCAAAAGCCATGCAATAAGTTCTATGATTAACACTATTGCAGCAATAACTTACCCCTTTCTCAAGTCATAGAGCGGGCTATCGAAGTCGTTTTGTCTGCCTTGAAGTCTTTTGAACTCATTGCTTGTGATGTTAATCATCTCTAGCCATCTTAAGGAGAGAAATTATATTATTTTAGACACAAACAGCTGAACTTTTTTGGCTTTAAAGCCTTTTACGACCTCTGCATGATTTGTGGCCTCCTTAAGTTAATTGTCTTACTTTTTGTGTCGTTTCGCTAAGAGATTTATTGGATTTCCCATGAATAAGAGAATTGAAGGTTTTGAAGCTTACCTCCGAGTTTCTTTTTCATCCGTTGTGTGCATTAAGTAAATACTGGATGGTGCATCGAATTCATTCATGCAAATGATGAAGAATCCACCTGGAAGTACGTGCAGATCTAAAGATGCATTCAACCAGTAAGAGAGAAATAGTTATTTTTCATCTGAGCTAAAGAGATAGAATAAACCATAAAAACCTCATTTTACTCACTTGCATCATTGAATGGATGATAAATCATATGGGCAATATGAATAGGGGGACGAGCTACACGAAGTCCTTTATCCGTTCGTTTCGTTGAAGTTTTACAGAGTAAAAGCATGTCGGTAAACAAGAGGCAGTGCATTTCTACCTGAAGCGTATAAATTGCAAGAAAAACGTATGATCACAGGAATCCTACAAAATTATACCTTTGCCCCTTGTCGACTCTCTCGTACTTTCAGGTTACCACGATGGATAACTCGACGAAATTGAGGAGGGCCAGGAAGAAGGGGCATAGGAGCCATAAGATCTAGAGTGGTTCGACGACTGGGGAACAGCTAAAAGAGCATCTTTAAAATCAGTACGTGTTCTTAGACAAAACTATACCTTTTCAAATTCCTCTGAGTCAACGGCATCATAGCCGTCAATGCTCTTCATAATTTCAGCCATTTGAAGTCGAAGATCATTGTTATTCAACTCGAAGTTCAGCTGTTGAGTAGCAGCATCTGTTCTGTCGATCATCGCTAAAATATATATGCGTGTTCAGATAAATTCGACTTTTGCTAGATTGAGAACCCCTTTTTGTGTTTAACTCGTACCCCTTCAAAGAAAAATGAAAATGGTAAGCCTACTTATGAAGTTCACTAAAATATTATGCTATGCCTAGTAAAAAGCCCGAAAACTGTTTTAACTGTTTTGAAAACTGTTTTAGGGTAAAGATTGACCCCAAAAAAGCACACAGAAAGATTGGAAACTAAAATTGAGAAAAGATGAGAAGAGGTAATGAAATGCAGAAGATTCAAGAGTGGGACCAAAGAAAAAAGACTCATTGTGAGACGCGAGAATGTAAACAACGAATCAAACAAATCAATTCCTTTGGGCTTAGAAGAAAATCTACAATCTCAAGCGCCATCTTGAAAGTTGTACACAAATTAAAAACTTTTTCCCCAATGCATCCTTTATTCTTCTTAGCATCATTCAAAAATTTCTTTGTAAAAAAAGTTGAAGATCTTAAATTATTAGCAAAGTCCCTGCTATCTTGAGAAATGTATGCACATTAAGACATATTGGAATTTACATGAAAGCGGATTATGATCCGAGATTAGTGGGACTACCTCTGCAGATAACAGCGCAAAGATCCTTCTGGAACTATATCAGCGTCATGAGGATGATCCCCATTATAACCGCATCTAATAAGGGAAGGATTGGTCGAAAAGGCGATTTAAGATGAGGTAAATTCGCTGATTTCAAATCTGCCTTCCATTCTGCAAAGTGCTTCCCTGGAAGTGGTTATGGGCATTTCCACCAAGACGAGAAGAATGCCTTACAAGACTTTGCTTATAGTGCTCACATATTCAACTTTGATCCAAAACAGCAGGGCAAATGCAGAATGACGAAATTATGTCTCCTTAATAAAACAACCCCTTGCTTGTTGTTTTAGGTTAAATTTGATGTTTTAGAGCAATATAGGCTGCGTACGCTAATTTCAGCACAGAAAAACTTTCATCTTTTCCCAGAAAGCTTCGCCGATAGAAGACAGATAGAAGCAGCGATCGGAGCTGCATCTATGTGCATCGCTCCTTCGATTCCTCTTTCGATCAAGTATCTTCCCCTTAAAAGTCTTCTTTAAAGACTTTCTGCCTCAATACAACAAGCTGTAGTCCCAATATTAGCATAATACCCTGCGACATGATTGAAAAGGGCACAATGTATGACTGCAGAGTGACGTTAAAGATTATTGCTTGCATTTTGCACACGCGAACATGTAATCCACAAGGTAAGAAGATATTAAGAATTCTTAATAATTTTTGGGCCTTTTTATAATCAAGCTAGCACGACCAAATTCTTCATCTTGTCGTCGTAATAGAAAATTCGGAATTTTGGGAGATCAGCGTCATTTAGTTATACGATTCCTATTATTACTAACAGTCAGGGATTATAAAAATTTATGGAAAAAAAGGAATGCGTAAGAATGTGTTTGTTCTAGAAATCATTTCAAGAGAAGTGAGCGGTTTTTTCAAAAAAACAACATTGCTGAGAAGTAAAAAAAAATGACTAGAAAATTAGAGAGATCACAAAAATTCGAAAAATGACAGGATGTTATACTCTAACGTAAGCTTTTTATGGTTTGTACCATGGCAACTGAAAATTTTGAGAACCTCAATATTGCCTCTTTCAACTGAGTCCGAAAATTCAAAACTTCTAAATTCTATTTGGAATTTGTTATATCACTCACTTTGAATAATCAAACGTTCACGATCATCAGTTGAGTTGGACAACACAGCCTGGAAATATACGAATGTATTACAAGCTATCAAGTTTTTAAAGACGTTAAAATTATATTATATTTCAAGCTTTTACTCATACCTTAAGTAAAAGACTGTATCGCGTAAGCCTTTGCATAGGACTAGTCAAGGTGTCACACAATTTCTGCCTACGCATGGACTCCTGTGATTCTGCCCACTAAAATAAATTTACTAAAAGCTAAATATAAGCATAATTTTGGTACGAAAGGGAAGCAAACGCACATGTACGAATTCACGGAACATCTCATTGTCTTTTTGCTTCTTTTGAACGTAGGTATGGCTATCGTCGTGACCAAGATTGAAGGGAATGTAACATTTGGACCACTCGCTAATGTCTTCAAAACCGTTTAACAAAATTACGGGATCAAGAGGTTTTCGAGACTGCCTGAAAATAATTTATTTTGAAAATTGCTTTGATTTCATTTGTCCTAGAGAGCTGGTACAACTCCTATGCAAGCGTATAGAAATGATTTATGTCCATACCTTGAACATTCCAAGAGCGGTTGAATAGCGCGGCGCCAGAAAATAACATTTACAGTGAAGAGCTCGGTATAGTTTAGAAATACTCTTGCCACAGCAATATCCCTAGAAAATGCAAGCTTGGAAGTGGAATAGATGTGACGTTTGATATGAATCTGCAGATTGCTGTAGAAAAGGGAGGCTTTTAGCATGAAGATTTAGAA